ATTTTTATTTCTTCATTTGAGAAGTCCCTCTTTAGTTCCCTTGCCCATTTAGTAATTGGTTTGTTAGGTTTGGGAGGGATTAGTTTCTTGAGTTCCCTATATATACAGGATGTTAACCCCTTGTCTGATATATTGCTGATAAATCCCATACATCTTTGTAAGGACAAGAATCCTGGCCCAGAATCCTAGGGCCCTAGCCTCTTTGCTGTCTGCCTATGTATCCCCATTGTGCCCACTCCATCCCAGAATACCTACCCTATCCCCCAAGACCTACCTTATCTACAATTGCCAAGTGACAAAACAGGATAGCTTAGATTCTGGTCTTCTACGCAGGCAGTTCTTTGGCCCATCTGTTTTTAAGCTAGGCATGCATTTCTTAGGTCCCCAGACCCCTTGAAAATCTCTAGTACCATTAGACCTTAGGGAAGAAGAAAACTAGCTTTACTGAATACCCATCAAACACGATTCTGTGTGTATCCTAGCTCATCTCATCTTTCTAGCAACACCAAATGGGAGAGATTTCCATTTCTCTTTGCCAGTGGGAAGACAGAAGGGAATCTAGCAACTTGCCTGTAATCAGCAAGTCATAATTTCACATTTGAACCCGTGCCTGCCAGATTCTGAAGCCCACACTTTTTCGACTCTGCTCTTAGTGAAAGCAAAAAGTGTTGAGCAGACTAAGTATTAAGAAGTGCCTATGCAGCAGTGTGGAAAAGAAACAGAACACAGATGGATCTGGGCAAGAAATATGTGAATGGATAATTCACGTCATTCAGAAAAGAGGGTGCAGAGTCCTGATGGGAAATAGACTAGATCAGGACTGGCTGGGAGTAATGGCAGCAACCTCTATCATCAGGTGGAGAGAATTTGGAGGAAGGGATGGCTGGAGATGAGTGTCTTGAGGCTCTCAAAACATCACAGTAAGGATTTTTTTTAAATATCAGAAATCAAAGTGGCCAAGAATAAATCAAGGTAAGAAACAAGAGGTAGTTTTTCCTTAAGAGTGTAGATTTAAGCTTTGGGAGTGACTGAGAGCTCCAAAAAAGGAAGGCGAGGAGATCAGATGCAGTCTCTGCTCCACACTGGTACCTGCAGGGTGGAAAGAAAATGAGAAACTTGAGGTCAAGTTGAGGATGTCTGTGGGCTCTGGGAGCCATAGTGAGATGACCAGCCAACAGCTGCAGCTTAGGCTGGCGACAGAGGATTACTAGGCTCCGGGCAATCCGAGCAGCATAGGCAGGTGCAGGGAGCTATGGGAGGGAGAGGTTTCAAGTGCTGGCTATTCTTTCCAGAAGTTTGTTGGTGAACCAGGGAGAAGAGGAGCTGGGGAAACACAGAGCCATCTTGTTTAATGGCAAAGGCAGAGAGCAGAAGGCAGAGCCTGGAGGAAGGGTAGAAGGAGAATGGAAGGAACTTGCCTCAGAAAGGAGGCAAGACCTGACTCTGTAGTACAGGTGGGGGTCTTCTGGGCTGGGCAGAGGAGAGATCTTCAACTGAGGGAAGAAAAGGTGATGGGAAAAAATTTCAGGCATGTTCTACTTTGGTAGGAGGGAAACTGACAGAGCCCATGGTTTCAGGTAATGAGGCACCAGCATGATAAAAGTAAGTAGTCACCTTTCCCCAGTACAACCTTAGGAGAGATGTGCTCATTGGCTGTCACTTTCCCAGGCCCCAAATGTCTGGTTATACTTCAGTGTCCAGGACGCACAGGTATGTACTGCTTTTGCCACAGCACCAGTCGAGCCTGCTCTACCACCTGCTTACAGATACCAATATGCAAAGTGTTCCTGTCATGCTCTATGAAACACACTGGTGACTTTCTCTGTCAGGACAAATAAAGCATTTTCACTTTTACCTCCTGATCCTCCACCCAGATTTCTTCACCAGACAGAGTATGCCAGAGGCTGTATGGGTCAAGGCTCATGTAGGGCTTTTCTTCAGGCAAAACAAATCAGTAGGCCTTCTCCTTGGAGGCCCCACACCATCCCCCTTGCCGATCCCCAACTTGACTCCTGGTTCAAGTTCTTCTGATCCTCCCACCCTTGGTGAGTTAGTCTGTGTAGGGTTGAGAATGGATCCAGAGGCTGGTTTTCTACTGCCCAGGGTTGTCTCCTAGAGCTATTTGTCATACCCAAGGCTAAAGCCTTTTCTCTTGAGGAAACACTAAGTTAAGTCTCTTTCTCACCCTCATTCTTGTCTGCCAGCAGTAGTGGCAGCGCAGCAGCAGGTGCCCTCATCCCTGGAGATCACTTCTATCCTGCACTCTATGCCCAACACACTCACTACCCTCCCCCACCCCATTCCTTTCCTGTCTCCTACAGCTCTGTGGGGTAAGAACTCAGCCCAGAGGGACTCCAAAACAGTCACAACTTGAGCAGAAAAAGCTCTTGAGGTTGGATCTGCCACTATTCCCCTCCCCTGGTCCATTAACTCTTAAACACCCCCATCAGTGACAAAGCTGTCAGGCAGCTTTGGACCAATGCCTTGAGTTCTTTCTTCTTTCTGCTCAGCACCCTAGCTGACTTTAGACAAGATATCACAGGAAGAGCACAGGTGTTAGAATCAGAAGGCACAGTCTTAGGTCCTGTCAGTACCTACACACTGTGCATACATGCTCTGAGATGTTTTATGTCACTTCTGGGCCCCAGCTTGCAACCAGGTAAAGCACCTGCCTTGCCTTTACCAGAGAGAAGTAGAGAAAAAAGGGCTAATCTGATGAGGTAGGCTATTTATAAACCATAGTATGTTATTCTTTTTTTTTTCTGTAAAGATGCTATAGAGAGGGGTTACAGTTACATGAGTACGGTAATGAGTACATTTCCTGTTGAACATTGTTAGCCACTCCTTTGTCTCTCACTATCCCTTTCTTCCCCATTCTTCCCCTCTCCCCACCCCAAGTTGTAAAGTTCATTTTCGACATAGTGTCTTGTAGACATCATTGTTGCCATGGGACAACTTTGTCCTTGTTTCAGCATTTTGTTATTCCCCCTTCCCTTCCCCAAATCAGGTAAGTGTATATACAAGATGCAGGGTACCAGATTGCCAGTGATAAATCACTGGAAAAAGAAAAGTGAAGTAAAATATAAAGAAAGAACTAAATACATTATATTGGCGACAAAGTAAACAACCAGAAAAAAAAGACCTATTATTTCCATGTCTTGTAGTTCATTTCAATTAGCATCATTTTATATGGTCATATGTGCATAGCTATTGAGCTATTTTGATTCTCTGCCAGGACTATTCTAGACATATATTAATTATTACAAATGAGGCAAACCGTGGAGCCTATGTTTCTTCATAAAGAAATGGAAAGACTTGGAAAAATCATGTTAAGTGAAATAAGCCATACCCAAATAAACATAGTATACTATTCTGATTCCTGGAATCTAAATTCTTACTAGCAGCTCAGAGCCCAAGGGAAACCCAGCCCAAATGAATTCAATGCAATTCACTCAGCTTTGGTGTAGGCTGACTCTGAACTGGGTTCCAAGAAACACACAGAAATGCACACAGGTCTTGCACAGAGTTCACATGGCTGGCAAAGATGAAAGTGGTATCTGTGTATGCAATGGTTGGGGTTGGTCACCAGCAGAACTTGCCCCAGGTTGCTGGTTCAGCCATCCAGATGTTAGGGGAATCTGAGTCCCCTGACCCACCCCTCAGACTGAGGAAGAGACAGGCAGATGTGGCTTGCTGAAGAAACCAAAGTAAGAGGCTTGAATCAGAGAGCTCTGAGTCCCATGCCTGGATCAGCAGCTCAAGAGGGTTATTTGCTCTCAGAGCTCCCCCCACCCCTTACCATCTGGGAGATGTGGAGAATAATCCTGACTCACAGGATAACTATGAGACCCTCCCTGGAAGACAGGACAATGAGAAAAGACTTCAAAAAGGGAAGTGCTTTACAACAAGGAGTTATTGTTCCTACAAGTTCTTTCTCAGTAGAGGGGAGCTCATTACAGAAGGTTAGTTTGTCTGTTTGTCTGAGTGATAAGGCACCTTTCCCATCACTAGCCTAACAGGACTGTCTCAGAGGTGTTAGCTCCCCCACGCAAAATCATCACCCCTGTAACACCCCATTACATGTTAGTTAATACTTCCAGTGGCTGTGCCTCTACACGGTTTCTGTGTTAATTCCACCACCCTACTGCCTGCAGCATACTGCTATTCAGATGATGTGAGCTGGGTGAGGATAACACAGCTCTTCCTCATACCAGATCTCAACCAAATGACTTAAGAAAGTCTCCCCCATCACTTCCTCTGTCCACTTGCTGTCTGGACAGAAGACTTTTCCCAGGGAGGGCCAGCCTAGGATCTGACAGCAGTTCCAATCCCTATACTTACAAGAACAAACCCTAGGCATTTTTCACTTCCATTGGATACATATCTTTCCTGAAGCAATTTCTTTCTTGTTCAAATCAGATAGAGATGGGATCCCTCAGATGATCAGTTTTTCACCATCAGTTAAAACCCCTGTCTGGCTTGGTGTGTGTGTGTGTGTGTGTGTGTGTGTGTGTGTGTGTGTGTGTGTGTGTGTGTGTGTGTGTGTGTG